ATTGATTTGAACTCAATATGATAAGATGATGCACTTTTTCAAGCAGCACTGTCCACACGCGTTTTCGTGCAGAAGTTTTTTGCTTACGTTAAAAGACGCAGCGGGGCAAAGCTGTCTATACCAGCTTTGTTGCGAGCAGACGTGACCCGTGCGCAAACTGACTATGACAAGGCTTGTATACTGAGTGATCAGTATACTGGGGTCTTTGCTCGGGAGACCTCTTTACCACAGGTTGTATTGGTTTCAAGGGTTCCAGAGGATTCTTGCTTAGCTGAATTTATAGCGCTATGGATCGTGCGCTATATATCCGGTACGCGACTAGACGGCCAACCAAAGGTAGTGGGTAGAAGGCACAAAAGTAAACTAGGGAAGAAGTTTATTGGACGGGAGGAGCGTTAGCTAATGCTAAAAATAGGGCACCCGGAGAGAGCTAGCTAGGGAGAATGTCGTTGGCGTCGAGAGCGTAGACGGAGCGGAGACCGTGCTCCACAACGGTCGGTGATCAGCAGGCGACTGGGAGGTATGAGCTGCCATCCCAAACCAACATCCCATACCAACAGGTATGAGCGCCAAAGGCGGAGATCGTTTTCGTGTTTCCAACAAACGGGAACAAGGTTCCAACAGGCAAACCGAATAGTTCCCTAATACATAAGAAAGCTATAATTTGAATATTTTAGAATAGTTTACACAGTCATACGGGGGAATCTCCAGGTCGCAACAAATTTAGCATAACGGAGACTCAGGTCTTCGAGCTACTACAAGGCATTAATCCCTCTAAAACTTCCGGTCCGGATTCAATTCATCCGAAGCTGTTGCATGAATTGGTCACTGAGCTGAGTGGTCCGCTCACATGCGTGTTTTCAATATCACTGGATAGGTGCAGCTTACCTTCGGAATGGAAGGAGGCAATCATCTGTCCGATTTTTAAGGGCGGTGACAGCGCTCTACCCGCGAACTACCGGCCTGTCAGTTTGACAAGAGTAGTAGTCAAGTTGTTTGAAAAGCTGACAAGAGATTTAGTGGAGAACCACCTGAATAGATTCAACCTTCTCAGTATTGCGCAACATGGATTCCGCAAGGGATTTTCATGTCAGACTAATCTACTTGTAGCTCGTGAAAGCTGGGCCGAAGCGGTCGACATTGGCCACACTGGAACATTGTATTTAATGGGAATAAAAGCTCGAGCTTTACATGACCCATAGGGTAAAAAGAGTTCGGGTCGGGTCTAATGAAAGGCCAAGCAACCTTATAGCGGGTAGGAGTCGCGTGTTAGCCGTATCTTCATCGGGCTTATGTGGCATTTAAACAGAATGCACGCCGGCTCAAAGCGTGACATCCCACCACGCCCTCCGAAACGGCTTTGGAAAGGAAGTAGGTAGAAGAAAAAAAGAAAGAAATTCCATCCAGTAGAATGTAGTTAAATTAGGGAATATCGCGGTGTAGCTCGGCCAGATGACAGTCCAAGCGGGTCTTAAAGTCCGCCACAGTGGGTGCCAAGACTAAATCGGCAGGTAGAGCATTCCACGGTCGGCAGATTCGCAAAGCGCAGTAGTGTCGTCTGCAGTTCAGCCGACTGTGCTGATGTGTGAGCCTCAGTGGGTGGCCACGTAGGTGGGAGCCCGATTGGTGCAGTGTGAGTAGGTGGCGACAGGGATGTCCAGGGTTGGATAAGATCATGAATACGAGGATCAGGTGGCCCCGTAGACGTCGGTACTTAAGCGAGTAGAGGCCCAGGCACTGAAGTCGTTGTGGATAATCTAGGTGCTTGAGACCTCGGACCAGTTTGGTTGCTCGACGTTGTGGGGCTTCGAGTATGCGTTGGTCCTTCAACAACCAAAGGCTCCAAGCCTGAATAGCGAACTCCAAGTGGGGTCGAAGAAAAGCATTAAGGAGGAGGCGGAAATTGCTGGGGTCAATTTGACCGAAGGCTCGTTTCAGCAGTCCCGCCATGCGGTTAGCAGCAACAGCTGCTTTCCGGCAGGAAGCGGATACGGAAAGACTCGTCCGGGTAATGATACCCAAGTCTCTTTCGGCTGAAGAGATCTGGAGGATAGACGCTCCCAGGTAATATATGGGAGAAAAAGCGGAAGGGCGGGTAGAAAGGACGCGACATTTCGAAGCGTTAAATGGAAGGTTATTTTCTATGGACCACTGGTGTAGACGGTCGAGGTCCGTCTGAAGTGCGTGGGCATCGTCCGGAAGGTTAATTGTGCGCCACAGCTTCGCGTCATCCGCGTATAGTAGCAGCGAAGACTCCACTTGCGGTGTGACGTCGTCAATGAAGGCTAGGAAGAGGTGCGGTCCGAGAACATACCTCTGTGGAACTCCGCTTGTGGCAAGAATGCGGGGAGACAACGCTCCGTCGACGCGTACTTGGAAGGTACGGTTTTCGAGGTAGTTCCGGATCCAGTCCATCAAGTCCCCTGAAACGCCGTAAGATGACAGTTTCCGCAGCATAATCTTGTGGTCGACCTTGTCGAAGGCTTTGGCGAAATCCAGAAAGATAACATGCGTTTCTTGGCCAGAGTCGACTGCAGTCGTCCAGCTGTCCCTGGCAAGTAGCAGGTTACTCAGGCAAGACCGTTGACGCCGGAAACCGTGCTGGCAATCAGAGAGTAGTTTCCTGGCCTCCATGTGGTCCATTAAAGCGTCTGCGACGATCGATTCCATCACTTTGGAGATCGTAGATAGGAGTTATCGGTCGGTAATTGGCCGGATCTTTGCGAGTACTGCAAATTGGTGTAGATTGTAGATTGGTGTAATAGTCCCATATTTCCAATCATTGGGAACTGCCTTGCAAGAAGAAGTGGGTGAACAGCTCCGCAAGGGGTAAAGCTAGAGCTGCAGCGCACGCTCGCAAGAGCCGTGGGTGGAAATTATCAGCGCCAGGAGACGCCGTTAGCCGCAGGGATTTGAGTTTCACCAGGACCTTCTCCGGAGTGAAATGAACAGTCGTCAGAGAAGTTGAGAGTGAAATCGAAGAAGGTACCGTCGTTGTGTGCATTGATGGAGCGGAGAATGTGGATGCGTACTGCTGGCACAGGACTTCTGCTGCCTCGTTAGCTGATTTCGTGAGTCATGTGGAGGTCGTCAATGCATTAACACCGTGCTTCACTTGTCGAAGACTATTGACGTGACTATACAAGGCTTTGGGATTGGATGAAAATTTACGCATAAGCTGACGCTGGTGCTCGCTCTTATCTTCTCGTACAAGATGGACGCATTGGTTACGGATGGACCGGTAATATTCCCACTGAGTGGCCGTTGGATGGGAGCGATAGTTTCTCCATGCCGTGTTCCTGGAGGCAATCCATTTCTGTGTACGACTTCGGATGAGTGCTGGGCGTCTCTTCCCTATGGAAACTTCTTTGCACGTCGTCGTGGTGGAGCAGAGTTCACGTAGGGTAAGGTACCAGGTACCAAGCCTCACTGTCAACTTTGCTTGGATCAACTATTGACGGTGATCTCGATTCGCAGTGGGCGCATATCAAAGATGCGTTAGTTTCCGCCAGTATCGACACTTGTGGAGTTACCCGTCACCCACCGAAACATTGGATTTCCGCCGACTCCTTGTCGCTGATGGACAAACGCCGCTTGATCCCATCGGATTCCAGACACGTTGAAGAACGCCAATACCTTGGTCGAGAGTTGCGCAGGAGTCTGCAAATGGACCGCGAAGCTTGGTGGTGTGAACGTGCTAGGGAGATGGAGCTTGCTAGTCTCTGTGGTAATACCAGGAAACTCTTCCATCTCCTTCGAGTCACCGAAGGTGTTCGATCTGGTATAAGTGAAACAATATGCGAAGAGGATGGCACCTTAATCACCAATCTTCAACGACGGTTGGAGCGATGGGCCGAACATTTTGGCTCGCAGTTTTGTTGGCCCCCAGCTCCATCTGCTACCTCTGGCGCTCGCGCTGGGGCCGAGTGGTCTACCCCAACAGACCCTCCCTCTTCCCAGGAAATCGAGCAGGAGCTCCGGCACCTGAAGCGTTATAAAGCTCCCGGCCCTGATGGTCTTCACCCAGCTCTATTTAAAGATGGTGGCGCATCGCTGGTCCGAGAACTCACCGCTTTGTTCTCGAAAATTTGGTCGAAAGAGAAGGTTCCATCATCTTGGGGTGAATCGATAGTCGTACCCATCTTCAAAAAGGGCCTGCGCAATCTGCTCCAACTACAGAGGAATAAGTTTAATCCCCGTTGTTTGCAAGCTGCTGGTGTCCACCATACTTCGCAGGCTATCCCCAACACGCGAATCGTTGCAACGAGAAGAACAAGCTGGGTTTCGCCCTGGTCGCAGCTGCATCGATCAAATCTTCACACTTCGCCAGATCCTCGAGCTCCGCCATGTGTATCAGAGGCCAACGATTGCCGGGTTCCTGGATATCCGTGCAGTCTTCGATTCTGTCGATCGTACAGTACTGTGGCAGTGCCTTCTGAGGAACGGTGTCCCCGAGAAGTTCGTCTCCATACTGCGCGCTCTATACAGTCTGACCTCGGGCAGGGTTAGGGCTTATAGCATGCTTTCGCCTACCTTTGTGGTCTCCAGTGGAGTTCGACAAGGATGCCCTATCTCTCCGTTCCTATTCAACTTTGCCATTGAGGATGTCCTGAAGAACGCTCTGAGCGATTCGTTGAACGCTGGCGTTGAGCTCCTCCCAGGTAGTCGAGTTGTTGATTTGGATTATGCTGATGATATCGTCTTGCTGGGTGACGATCCACAGGTCGTCCAACTTGCATTAAACCGCTTGACGATTGAAGCATCAAAGTACGGTATGTACTTTTCGCCATCCAAATGCAAGGCTCTCCTTCAAGACTGGCAGGTGCCTCTGCCTGCACTCACGCTTGCTGGTGAGACACTGGAGGTTGTGGAGAGCTTTGTCTACTTGGGAAGTTGCATCACTGCTGGCGGGGCTGTTGGACATGAGATTTCGATGCGCATCTCGAAAGCACGCCTCGCTTTTTCTAGGCTGAGGCATTTGTGGCGTCGCCAAGACATTCGTCTGTCCATCAAAGGGCGGGTCTATTGTGCAACTGTTCGTGCTGTACTGTTGTACGGATGCGAGACCTGGCCCATTCGTAAAGATGACTTGCGCAGGCTATCCGTCTTCGAGCACCGCTGTCTGCGGTCCATTGCCCGTGTGTGGTGGCAACACCACGTAAGCAATGTGGAAGTTAGACAGCGTGTCTTGGGACGTGGAAGCCACTCGCTCGAGGAGCTCATCTCACTGCATCAATTGCGGTGGTTGGGACACGTATTGCGCATGCCTGTCCAGCGTTACCCCCGTCGTGCGTTGTTTGCACTTGCTGGACAGGGCTGGAAGAGACGGTCTGGTGGACAGCCTACAACATGGAGAAGCCGCATGAAAAAGTTGACGAAACAATTGGCCTCGGCCGGTTGTTATCGACTACCTGGTTGGGGTCCGAGAGATGAGGATAGTTGCTGGTTGAAAACCTTGGAAGTTATGGCTCAAGATCGATGTCAATGGCGGACGTGTGCATCAGTGTGCTGCGGTGTCCCTTCCTCCTCCCCCTAAAAAAGAACAAACTGAAAAAAATTTCAAAAACTGTGAGTGGTAAACTTGACCAAAAAAGCATTTCTTGTTGCTCTTTTCTTATTATTCATATTGTTTTCCTATTCAGCCATGATTCCGATGGCACAATATCTGTACCACAGATTGTGTATAATATATATAATATATATATATATATATATTATATATATATTATATATATATATATATATATATAATGTGTGTATGTTGAAGGCTGCAAATTTGAACTGCGTTCCGGGTTGCAGGAGCGAAGATAGGCGACTTTGGGACCAACAGCTCTCTGTTGAGTACTGTGGTTGAGTTGGCAAATGTCACGGAACAGGCTCATCAGTGTAGGTGGGGTTGATCGACATAGAGGAATCAGGTAAAATGGGTGTGAATGGTACAAGGGAAGGGTAGCCAAAATGGTGGCGTGTGCTTGTGCAGTTGGCATAGTGACATGAGTGAATAGCATCGTAGCAGCAAGAGAGCTAGTGAATGGTTATAGTTGTAAGTCCATGATTCGTCAGTGGGCGAGATACTACCAGGCTGCCCTGGCAGAAGTAGAGGGTTGTCTTAGGGGGCTTCACCCCGAGACTTAGATCAAGTATCTAACCTATAAGGAAGCAGGGCGATATGATGGTATCGCAACCCGTTGGGAGCCGGTGACCAAACGAGCGGTTCATACGCCTTTAGGACCGCATAGGACCAGGGGCCCAACACACGCTTGAATTACAATACCACTCAGAGAGAGGCAAGGGGCAGTGACTTTATTTAGTGGCGAGTCACATCCGCCACGTCACAGTATTGTTAAACTGACATATGTGGCTTTTTATAGGGAAAACGCTTGCCAGGCGAAAACCCAACACGTCCTGGAACACTGCTGTCGAACCATTCGCTGGAACGGGATAATCCCGAACCACCCAGCTGGCACCCTGAGAAGGTTGTTCGGAAAGCCAGAGTGAAGAGTGAGAGTTAGTGCTGTCTGTTGGCCGATCTGACCATGAGTGCGGACGTTAAGAGAGCCAAAATGAAATGAGGCCCTCGTTTTGTGGGATGAACTACTCGTATCGATGGCAACAATTGTGAGGTCCGCGGCAATCTTTGCTCAATAGATGGGAAGAAGAAGCTGGGAGGGAAGGAAAAAGTGTTGGTGACGGGGTCTAGAGGGAAGATGATACTCTCCTGCTGCCCTTCCGAGAGAGGAGTTTTGTTCAAAATACCTACTCGCCAGCTTTTGACTAGACAATCCGACCTACAAGGCAATGTAGTGCATGGAATTTCTCCAGAGGGATTCCATCCACAGTCTTTGGCTCAACAGCCTGATCTACAAGGCAGTGGGGAGCAAATCCAGCTCGGGATTGTGATTGCAAATCCATTGGGATCTGCTTGAGGTTTGTCGCACGCGGCCTTTGAAAATTTAGAGCGTTTCACTTGTGTTTTTCTACTATAGTATGTTACACACTTTTGCCTCATACTGAGGCTGATGTTGCATCATGATGCTTCTTCACCGCCATCGGGCTAAACCAACTTACACTTAAACTAGGTCTTTTTAAGCTGGATAAATTTAATTCCATTGTATTTGGTTTGTTCTGCCTACCTGAGTAATCTTATATTAATTTGCACACATCGCTTACGCTAATTATCTTCGTTAACTTCATTGCGTTTGTAGCATATTTGAGTAACTTGCGGAGATTTTGTATCTATTGCGGATTTGTTGCTAACCAACTGACATCATATGCCAATTTAGGGAAGTTACGTCGGCATAACCGGTTGCTTTAACAGATATATTTTATTTGATAATGTTATTTCAAGTGATTGGCTGTTGCTTGACATCCAGGGGTGGCTGCGCTTAATGTGCATGTTGACAAGGTGCCTACCTGTCTATCACCCACTACCTCGTCCATAGTGGCTACAGGAGACAGTTGGTCGTTGCTGGAGGGGACGGGGTGCACGGTCCTTGTGACCGTGAAAGGCTCGAAGAGTGGTTCTATGCATTCAGTGTAGAGTGGACTACGGTTTAGCCACCGCCTTATGTGTGATTGATTCCCCAAATACAGCGTGCTTGTGTTTACCTGTGAAGGAGTGTGGGCCGGCTCCGTTGATGAAACGTGGCTCACATCCACGTGCCTCCCGGTCTTATTCCTTTAGGTTTACACTGGATATGGGGTGTGGTTGGAGCTGTGGGTGATGCAGCGCAAGCCCCCCACGGTCCCTCCGTAGGCGCAGGCGTCTTATGGCTGGCCACAGTGACAGGCGAATCCGAAACCGGATGCCGCCAACCATGTAATCTCAACAGTCTAGCAACTAGACGTAGAGCCAACAAAAACATGTAGATTAGCGGATAAGGGGAAGTCATCGAATCATAATCATCGAGGCATAGTAGTTGAAGGTAAGCAACACACTTCAGCTACTATGCTGTAGAGAGAAAGGAACATTTTTAACAAAGTAGAACAAACCATTTTTTGTTTGTCTTTCACACGCCGTTTTTTTATTTCTGTCCTTTTCAATGTTTGAAGTATTAAACATGTGAATCAATACAATTCTTTACACAATTCTTCCGGTTGCGGACCATGTCTTCAAGAATGCTAAGCCCTTGGCACTCGTCATTGTTTGGTCCCCATCCTGAAAGACGTAAGGGTCCAACAGCGGCTAGACACGACATCAGCGATTTCATGTGCTGTCGCCAAGTGGAAGGCTGACCACCACGCGGTCGCCTCCAGCCAGGTCCTTGAGGAGCGACGCGATAGACGCCCAGGTGCCATGCGCAGGACGTGACGGAGCCATCTCAACTGGTGCAGCGAAACCAGTTTGTTGAAGGGAATACTCGCATTCTCCAAGATGCGACATCGAACGTCATTATTGTTAACTCGTTGAGGCTGCTTCTGGATCTCCAGAAAGAAGCAGGTGATTTCAGGCTTCGTGGTCACTGTGGGATGTCAATGTAAGCACAGTGCTGGGATCTTGCAATCGGGTTTCTGAAAGGCAACAGACATCAATATCGAGGGAATCTAGGGTGCGCGCTAGACCGGCTTGCTGTCCAATCTGTATGAGTGTCCGAACCTTGAAGCACGCCAGACGGAACGAAGGAGAGTCATAGGATGAACTCCGTGGTTCGCGGCGCAACCGGAATCGCAGCCAGACTGTTGAACACATGAAGCGGGTAACGGAAAGTATGGATTGTTAGCAAAAAAACAATTGGCGTGTGATGACGTCGCGTGAATGTGAGAAGCAGAAACGGTAGCTGGTGAGCATTTGGCTAAATAACCTACTAGCAAGCCAGCGGGTCGAATTCATGGAATCGCGCTAACTGAATGTTCAGTTCATGCGTCTTTCGTTCGGTAAATCACGAAATATGGGTTCAACACTCCCCATGGAATCAGCACAATTGCTGGACTACAATGCCCCAATTTTTAAGCGCGGTGACAGCGCTCTACCCGCGAACTACTGGCCCGTCAGTTTGACAAGCGCAGTAGTCAAATTGTTTCAAAAGCTGACAACACGTTCGGTGGAGAACTACCTGAACAAAT